AGCACATGTTGCGAGGTAACCTAACCGCTAGCTCTAACCTAGGAGTTCACTAAATGCGTTTCTTGGTAATAGGGGAAAACTTGTTTCTAACGCGTGGATGGATTCATTGTTGCTGACTTTACAGGAAAGACTTTACTCAAACGTTGCTGTTGTCTTAAGGCTTTTGTGACCAAGTCTGCCTAAAGGCCCACAGGTTTGCTCCCAACACTCACAGGAAGAGGGGTAAAAGTTTGGTATACTAGACCCAAATGGGACCTCCCTTCCTGCCACAGTCCTACCACAGGATCACTCTCTTGCATGCATTCTACCTGATGGCCAAGATTTGCCTATGTTGGTGTCATTAAAACATGTGTCTTACTGTCCTTGAGGTTAATCTCCTCTAATGTGCCAACACATCTGCCTGCTGGGTGTGCCCAGAACTCCCTACAAATTCCACTACAGGCCTCCTGTGGAAAGTGCAAGTTGTGAACTCATCTCAGTGGAACTGGTTTGAACATACCTGGAACAACCAACTCAATACCATTTTATCGAACGACACAGTAACTGCCGTAAAATGATTGGTATGGGAGCAGGTGAATGCCTCCCAGCCAATCATAGGGTATTGTATTTGGGTGGGTGTAGGGTGGCTTACTGCTGTGCCTGTAGCCTTAAGTGAAAGTACCCTAAAGTGTATAGAGCACTGTAATAGCACTCAGGCTGAGACATTGGTACACAGGTGGGTCCCTTAGCTCCTTTGTACCAAAATGCATGTAGCAACAGGATGATAAATAGGGTAGACAAAACCCCAATCATAGGGCAGGAGCATTCCCTGTTCCCTGGGTTACCCTTTGGGTGTGAGGCAGTACAGTATCTCCCATAAAATTGGATGGGTCATTGCACCTGGGGACAATCTATATACCTGGAAGGTTCCTGTCCACCCTGCCACAGGTTCCCTCTTATTGGGACAGTTTCAAGAATAGGCATATAGTGAAGTGCACTGCATAGTAGTATTACCTTCTGGCCATATTTGCCCCACTGCGGATGACAATGCTAACAAGCAGAGGTCACTGCTTATCACTGTATACAGCACACACCTTCAGTGTTACCCATAAAGCTACTATCCTCCTTAATGGAGAAATAGGGCAGCTTAGGACACTAGTCCTACAAAATCGCATGGCATTAGATATGCTTACTGCAGCTCAAGAAGAGTGTGTGCCATCCTATACACAGAATGTGGTGTGTACATACTGGAAACTCACCACCCTTCTCGCACAGGGACCATTGTTTGTGTAGATTGTGAGGCAAGAATCCTGGATGGGGTGGACTACAGGGAAAATGTCACCATGGCCAGGATACTTGCCTATAGATGCTATCTCATGCTTGTACCCACTGCACAGGTGCATGCTGTTTGATGCTTATATAATCACTTAGCCCACTGCCTCAGGCTCCTGCTTATATACTCGCTGGTGGTGAGCCACTCTTTATGCTGTTGTAAAAGGAGGATCACCAGATACTTTGGTGTGGATGTAATTTCAGTGCTTCACCAGCCAGTGTGAGAATAAAGCCTGGTATGAACCCTCTATCTAACTCTCCCTTGTCTTTTTTTTTTTGGTCCGGCTGAATTCAGTGTTAACCTACCAGGAACAGAGCCCCTGCACTGCATGATCATTCACAGATTCATTCATTCATTCATTCATTCATTCATTCATTCATGTGTGCCTGTGATGGGCTTGGGGGAGGAGACCCTGGGCCCTGGGAGACCTGGTGGTCCCCTGAGAGTGAGGAAATCAGAGTACAGACTACTATGTGTAGAACAGGACGTGGTAATGCAGCAGTGCCTGATGAGACCAGAAGGACCCCAAATGGAGACCACTTGTGGTCTAGTGAGTACAGAACCAATTACTGTGGAATGTCTTTTAGTAGTTACTGTGTTGTAATACTTTATAAAAGGAGCAAGTATGTATTGAGCTTCTCATATAATGGACCATATTGAACACAATTTAAAAGTAAATGATTGTGGTTACCAAGGGATAGGGGAAGTAGACTGCTGAACTACTGTGGTGTACATTTGATAAAAGATTAATTTTAGTGGTAGGAATTACAGCAACATGGCAGATTATTTAGTAGTGTGTATGATGTAATGGAAAGAACACAGGCTTTGGAGCCACTTGGGCTGTTTTTTAATCCTGTCTTAGCTTTTAAAGGACAAAAGCTATGTCTAAAGTCTATATTCTTAATTCTTAGTGAGTTTTTTTTTCACGTGCTATACTCACACTTACTTTTATGCCAACTAGCACAGAACTACACTGTATAATAAGTTTATGCTGAAACAGCAGCATACTCACAGAACCCAAGAATAGACTAACAGTTACNACTTTTGTCATAGCATTCATGACCCACTCTGTAATTGACTCTGCCACTCACACTGAGCTCCTAAAGGGCAAAGCTGTCTTAGTCAAATCTGAGGAGCAGCACCTGGCATGTACCATGGAGACATTCCGTGACATGTTTTAGATCACTTTCTTCCTTTGCCTTTCATTGGCTGTGTATGCTCCTGTTTCTCCATCTGCCTCTGAAGTGTCCTCAGTAAGGTTTCTTCTATGACCGTTTCTTTGTCTTACCTCTTAAATGCTGTTTCCCAAGACCTTTTCCCAGTAGGCTTCTCCTGTGTTTCATGTCTCCCTAATGTACTTTGTACCTTGTTATCAAATGTGTTGCAAAAGTGAGTTTTTGATTCACACTAACCCATAATTTATTGCATCTGTTTCCTGGGATCAGCCCAAATTCCAGTCAGACTGATAAAAATTAACTAATCATTTGATCTAACTGGCCGCCCGGCCTCTTGTCTTCCATCTCCCTGCAGACTACAGTAACATAAAAAAGGAAGTGTTTGTGTTCGCCTCCCCAAACTTTTGTTATCTCCTCATTACCAACAGAATACAGTCAAAACTCCTCAGCTTGGATTCAAGACTCCAGGCTTTGGCGTCAGTCTCCCTTTTCATACTTCTCTGGGCTTATTTATTAAGTGCTTATTATATGCCAAGCTCTGGGCTAGTCACTGAGGAATTCACAAACTAGTTGGGATGATTGGTACACAGATTAAGAGACTGTGATTAGCTGTTTGTAAGAACAGACAGTTTCAGACAATGGATTATAAAATATTAGGTTTTTGCCCTTTACAGATTCATACTGCCAATTTGGAACTGTCATGGCCAATACAGTGACTACGAGCCACATTTAAAGTGCTCAACAGCCACATGAAGCCTGGTGGCTATTATACTAGACAGCACAGTACACACTATTTCAATCGCCCATGGAAGGGGTGGTTACCTGTAGGTACTTGAAAGAGAGCAAGGACCATTGCCCATACACTGCTCCGGTACTAGCTACCAGTCCCTCAACTCGGTTCTCCCACTGCCCCCGCCCCCACCTTTAGCTGGGCTGTATTTTTAAGTAGTACAGGCTCCCAAAAGAGAGACTGCATTAAAGTACTTTTATAAATTATTAAGTGATACAGAAATGTGATCTGATAAATAAGTTTAGTTCTTGCTTTCATCACAGCTTTGATTACTTTCAAATAAATTCTAGCTCCTTTCCGGAACTTCTCCCATAACCAGCATTTACGCCAAAGGGTTCTGAAAAGTATCTGTTACACACAGGGAGCAATTATACCAGGTAAAAATCCAGATTATACCTACCTTGATGCTCTTAAATGCCATCCATCCAGGACCCCACTTCACCACCACCCGCCTTTTCCTCTCGGTCACTTTCCTTAGAAAGGAAGGACATGCGTTAAGATTTCTAAAACAACAAAACATTTATTTTGAGATTTGGGGATGGGAAAACTAAGGAATGGAAATTGGACCATTATCAGTATCTAATGGGAAACTGGAAGCAACACCATCTTCTGTAGCTCGATGCTTCTCCAGTTTAGCAATCAGTTCTTTTGCTGGATTGAAGACGCCATTGGTCTGCTGGTCACAGACATAGCAGCGCGGGGTGGTGCGGAAATGCTGCAGTGCACAGCTCTCACAGAAATAATGCCTGCACTTGGTGACAACCGGGTTTTGGAAGGTCTGGCGACAGATGAAACACTTGAATGGTATTTCCTCCTCATCGCTTCCCACTTCATAGTTTCCGTCCTCATAGACACCATAGCGACCTTCATCAAGCTCACGTTCAATCTGCCACCCATGCTTGTAATCTGAGCGATCATGGAGGAATTTGCAGCTGTCTCCAAAGCCACAAAAACCAGTCTCCTTGTAGTCTTTGCAAATGTCGGGCTGGTAATCCCAGCGCACGGTGGCACGCAGATGCTCGGGAGCTCGGATGGGGCCCTTCCTCACCATCCCAGAGGAAGCATTGCCCATTGACGTATCTTTGGGCTTCATGTATTTCTGATAATTATTGATTCCCCGGTAGATCTTGTCATCTTCCTTGCCTCTCAGCTCCTCCTGGATCTTCTGGCTGCGCTCAAAGATGGCTTGTGCATCGCGCTCCTTCTCTGTGTCTAGCTCGTAGACAGCAGTCGCCCCCATGTCCTCTGGCCCCACGGGTTTCGCCGAGCGGGTGGACTTGTAGACCACGCCGACACTCTCCGGGTGGTTCTCTTCCTCCTCCTCGCTATTCAAGTCATTGTAAGGCGCCTTCTGTTTACCACTGCCACAGGTTTTCTGTATCATCGGATTGTGGGCCGCGCGCTTCTTTTTTGGGCGGAACACAGTGCTGCCTTCGTCACTACTGCTGCTGCTGCAGTCGTCGGGCTCTTGGTTGCAGGGGCGCTTCCTGCGGCCTGCAGCCCCTTTTTGCCCACCAAACTTTCTGAAGAGAAAGGTGCACACCTGACTTGCTGCCTCTACTGGAGAACGTTCCTCTGCCATTTTACGGTCCAGAGCTCCGAAACGGCTATGGCGGACTTGGTCGCGCGAGACCTGTTCACGGGACTGCACGTCGTGCTTGACCCGAGTCGGCGCAAAATGGGCGGGCTCCTGGGTGGGCAGAACCAGCAGTGCGAGAGCGCGCGAGCGCGCGAGCGCATCTCTCCTGAGTCCTGCCATACCCCGTCGCTTCCTTTGAAGGCGTACGTGGTCCCGCCCCGCTCGCCAGCTGTCGCGGAGCTTACCGGAAAGGGGCCAGAGCGGGTCACCTTTAGGAATCCTGGGGCAAGTGCTTGGCCTGAGTAGCTGTGTAGCGATGTGGTTTGAGATTCTTCCCGGGATCGCTGTCATGGCCGCGTGCTTGGTCATCCCCGGAGTGGCCACTGCGCACATCCACAGGTTCAGTAACGGGGGCAAGGTAAGGCGGCTTCTGCGGCCCCACGGCCGGCTTCTCGGACTGGCGTTAACGAAATGGACCGTGGCTTGGGGAGGCCTTAAGGAACCGGTGTCTCTCTGAGATGGGGAGCCCCGAGGTCGGCCCTCCCCTTTCCTCCTGTTGACTAACAGCGGAGGCTTGCGGAATTTAACCCGGAGAAACCACATCCTACTCTAGCAAGAAACAGCTCGCTGCTCGGTGGAGAAGAGTGGGCAAGAGGGCAAAGTAGAGATTCCGGGGCTGGGAAGGTAGGCGATTAGAAGAGGTAGGTCCCAATTCCTAGGCAGAAGTGAGGCGTCAGTTAGTCTTGGCTTTTAATTTCCTTTTTTGCTGGGTTTTAATTTCTCACATCCACATCTTGGGAGCCTCTCGTCTTTTACTTCTTCCCTACCCTTAATTAGTTTTTTATCTTGACATTTTTTTTATCGTCTGTCTCTTGCAAACCTTTAGGAACTTATCACAAGATCCTGGTTTTCACATCAGGATTGTAATTTTCCTCTCTTCCTGGGCCTTCACATCATCTCTTACAGTACAGAGTATATAGATGTATTTGCTTTCTGGCTTTGTGATTGTCTTTCACGTGTGATGTCCTGATGTTATTTCTTCTTATTAGGGTCCCCAAAGGGAATTGTCATATGTCTTTTGAAAAAAAAAACAACCTGGTTAAAAAAAAAGTGTAAGAACTCATGCTTACCATCTTAATTCTAAAGCCTAGTGGTCCGTTTTTATTTAAGAGTCTGGTCTTACATTAACTTGACTTTATTTCAGTGATGATGACATTTTTCTAGAATATCACGTACTGTCCCTCTGTTGGGTCACACTGTTGGATTCCCCTGAGGAAGGCGCCGCCCCCAAATCACTCACCAAAGACGTTTCTTGATGCAACAAGCAAGAGGAATTTATTCAGAAGCCAACTAGTTGGGGTCCAAGTCTGCCCGTCGCAGCGGGTCTCAACGAGGACCCTGAGTACTTACAACTAAGTGGTTATATAGGATTTTCTGAGGCATTTAGCCCTAGAGATTTACCATGGTTACAGATTATGTTGTAGTAACAAGATAACAATACTACATAGCAAGATAACAATACTACAAAGGCAGTAATTTTTCAAACCTACGATTTCTGAGTTGGTGCCACGTCCTGGGGGTGTAGCAAGGTAGGGTCAGCTTTTATGTTTAACTAACCGAAAGGTTAGCGCTGCCAGCAGTCATGATTGATTAACTTGTTTTTCCAGAGGAGTTACCTGGTTTCAGTTGTTCCCTCTGAGTCATATATCAGAATGGCTTTTTGGGCTTCAAGATGGCTACTCTTAGGCTAACTTATTTCTCAGGGAGGTTGGGGTCCTACATTCCCCACTTCTTTTTCTGAACATTCTAATCATGGAATGTTGGTTTCTTCTTGATGTGTGAGGGTATGATACTGTTGTCTCAGCATTAGCACCTGCACAGCACTTACTCTTTCTCTAATAAAGGTTATTACTCGATTTAAAATGCAGGGACCTAAGGTGAGGAGCAATATAAAAATAAGCAGGGGTCCTGTCAAGGTGGATATTAGAGTTGTAAGCCATGGGGATCTAGAGAACCAGGATTCAAACAGGCTCTGGTTAGCTTCTCGTTCTCGCTTTCGCTGATCTAATCTTTCTCTTAATTTAGACATTGAGTCTCTTACTACTCCAGTATGGTCTGCATAGAAGCAGCACTCTTCCTTTAGAGCTGCACATAATCCACCTTCTTTTAGAAATAGTAAATCTAATCCTCGTCTGTTTTGCAGCACTACTTCAGAGAGAGAGGTTAGGGACTCTTCAAGTTTAGAAATAGACTGTTCTATAGTTCTCAAATCTTCATCGATAGCTATTCTTAGTCCTTCATAATGTTGGTTCTCTTGTATAATTGCAGCCGCCCCTGTTCCTACTCCGGCTGCGACTCCTACTCCTAGTAATACAGCTAGAGTGAGTGAGACTGGCTCTCTCTTATACCTTAGTCTAGGTTCTAATTCTGCCACGAATGAGAAGTCATCATGATACATTAGTCTGGGTACTAACTGGACCATTATACAGAATTCGTGGGAGAAATTGAAGACAGAGGTGGAAACACATGGAGTTAGTCCAGTATTACAGGCCCACCATCCTTCAGGTGGTGGGACTAAATACCTGTTTTCTCTTGTGGGGATCATGGGGATGGTCTCATTACATAAATTTTTATGCGTGGCGGGAACCGTACCTAGACACTTTCCTATTCCAGACACTTCGGTTAGTGTTAGCTTTTTATGACTGCCCCAACTACAAATTTCGTGGCTGGTTGTATTCTTAAAATCAGCTGACAATCCCAGCCCTTCATAATAAGGTGGTCTAGAAGAAAAACATAACCAACAGGACTCTGTAGTTTTAGGGTCGGTGGCATTTAGGACTCTGAAAGCTCCCTCAACAAGGTTGAGGAGGCGCTGTCCATTGCTAGAAAAGGAGGTCAGTGGGCTAGGAGCAAAGACGGGGACAGCTGAAATAGTTAGGGTTCTTTTCGGGGCTGGGGTTGGGAGGCGAGGCTGATCTGGTAAGACAGCGTTTGGTCCTACTGGAATAGCTGGGAGGGTTTCTACTTTGAGTCTAAGAGTGAATACAACTCCATTATCATATCCTTCCTGATAGAGTCTTAATCCCCACATGAGCCCTCTTTCCCAATTTGCCCCCTTTCCGGCTTCAGTAAAGGAAATATCAATAAGATTACAGGTAGAGCTGGTCATACATTGGGCCTGAGTACTGTTTCTTTTAACTCTTATAAGACTTGGAGGGGAGCTCCCGGCATTTCTGCCTATCCAATGACATGTCCCTGTTTGTTCACAGCCCCAATTTTTGCAGAAAAAGTCTGTCTGCCCACCACACTGTGAGGCCTTAGCACGATCGGTTGAGGGGGCTGGGCACACATAGAAGCAGGTATCTTGGAGTTTTTTCATAGAAGCCCGAGATCCACATCCTGGCCTTCCTATTCTACCTCCGTGCCGAGGGTCTTGTTTGAAGAGAGTACATATGTCTACAGTGAGGGTAGGCCACCAAGTCCCCCTAGGATGCTGTTCTGTTAACTGGACTACTACTTGGTGGGAAGCTGGGGTAATGATTTGCCATGTCAGTAACCTGGGTTCATGGGGGTTAGGGTTCTGGTGGGTTGGAAGTAGCAGGAGCATCAGAATTACTAACAGCATAATTCTTTTTACACAAGCGAAGCTTAAGGGGGTTATCAGTCCGAGTTACTCGCCAGTCCGGGTCCGGGGGTGCCTTCTTTAGATGTGAAGCGTGTATCCAGGAAGAGACGCCGTCCACTTTTACAGCTGTGGGAGTAGTCAGGAGGACGATGAAAGGTCCCTTCCACCGTGGCTCGAGGTTTCCTGTCCGGTGCCTTCTCACGTAGACTGGGTCTCCCACCTGGAACTGGTGAGGCACCGAGAGGTCTTCTGGCTGATAGGCTTCCTTGATGGAGGCCCACACCTCTTTCTGCACAGCCTCCAAGGCTCGTAACCTTTCAAGCAAAAACTTATTAGTTGCACACTCAGGGAATGTATGAAGATGTGCTGACTGAAGCGGGGCCGGGGCCCCAAACATTATTTCAAAAGGCGTTAGTCCAAAGCGGCTGGGAGTGTTCCTAACTCTAAACAGGGCAAAGGGAAGGAGGACTAACCAATCACATAAGCCAGTCTCTATGGACAATTTAGTCAAGGTCTCTTTTAGAGTTCTGTTCATCCTTTCTACCTGTCCTGAGCTCTGGGGCCTGTATGCACAATGCAATTTCCAATCCGTCCCCAGGATCTTGGCCAATCCCTGACTTACCTGGGCAACAAAAGCAGGGCCGTTGTCGGAGCCGATTACCTTTGGAATCCCAAACCTGGGAAATATTTCTTCAAGGATTTTTTTAGACACCGTCTGAGCTGTTTCAGTTTTGGTGGGGAATGCCTCTGTCCATCCTGAAAATGTGTCTAGAAAAACTAGAAGGTACTTGTATCTATACTTAGCAGGCTTAATTTCAGTGAAGTCAACTTCCCAATAAGTTCCTGGGCGATCTCCTCGAAGTCTTTTCCCGGATATTGCTTGATTTTTGCTCACGTTTACTAATTGACAGGGAACACAATTTTTTACAATCTCGTCAGCTAATTTTCCTAATCCAATAATATGATAAGGGGAGTCTCGAACTAAAGTCTTTAGGTTTTTTGCTCCCAAATGTGTCAGTTGATGTAATTGCCTTAAGTATTCTTCTGCCTCTTTCCGGGGCAGGACAACTTTCCCTTTTTCAGACTTGTATATCTCTTGGGGTGAGGAATTTTTGAACCCTAATTTGTTTATACAAACGAGATCTTCAGGTGTGTACTGGAAGCTCTCGATGTGAGTGGCTTCCGGACACACCTGAAGGGGCAAAATGTTCATTCCCTGAGCCGCTTGCTTTGCGGCTTGGTCTGCTCTCCGATTTCCTCGAGCTATTGGAGAGTCATCTTTCTGGTGTCCAGGGCAATGCATTATTGCTACTTCTTTAGGCCTATGGATGGCTTCCAGCAAATCTAAAATTTCTTGTTTGTTTTTAACATCTTTCCCGGCAGAAGTTAACAGCCCTCTCTGTCTATAAATAGCCCCGTGTATATGAGCAGTGGCAAAGGCGTATCTGCTGTCAGTGTAGACGTTAAGTCTCTTACCTTCTGCCATCTTTAGGGCCTGAGTCAGGGCGATGAGTTCTGCTCGCTGTGCAGAGGTGCCCGTTGGGAGTCCACTGGCCCATACAACTCGGTCATCATCTACTACTGCAGCTCCGGCCATTCTCTTACCATCCATGATGTAACTGCTCCCGTCTGTATACCAAGTCAGGAGTCTCGTTCCCCCTAAGGGCTGATCTTGCAAGTCCTGGCGGGTTCCTGTCTCTTCAGCCAGAATTTCCTGGCAGGTGTGAAGCACTTCTTTCTCCAAATCGGGGAGCAGAGTGGCCGGGTTTAGGATGGCAGGGGGGGCAAACTCTACTCGATCACGATTCAGGAGTAAGGTTTGGTAGTGAGTCATTCTGGCATTCGACATCCATCTCTCGGGTGGTTGCCGAATTACACTCTCCAACGCATGTGGAGCAACTACAGTAAGTTTCTGTCCCAGTGTCAGTTTGTCAGAATCTTTAACTAGGAGGGCCACAGCCGCTACTACTCTCAAACAGGCAGGCCATCCACTACTTACTGGGTCTAATTTTTTTGACAAATAGGCGACAGGTCTCTTCCAAGGTCCCCATTGCTGGGTCAACACTCCCCGAGCCACTCCACTCCGCTCATCCACAAAAAGGACGAATGGCTTAGTTACGTCTGGCAGGGCCAGAGCGGGTGCCGACAGGAGGGCTTTCTTGATTTCATCAAAGGCCTGTTGCTGTTCAGGTCCCCAAACAAACGGGGCTGCCTTTTTGGTTAGGGGGTACAGGGGGGCGGCTAAGGTGGCATATCCGGGTATCCACAATCTGCAGAACCCTGCTGTTCCCAGAAATTCGCGGACTTGGCGCGGAGTAGTAGGGACCGGGATCTGCGTCACAGTCTGCTTCCGGGCTTCAGTAAGCCACCTCTTCCCTTCTCTCAGGGAATACCCTAAATAAGTCACTTGTGGTTGGCAGATCTGTGCCTTTTTGGCAGATGCTCTATACCCCAGCCTAGTAAGTTCAGTCAAAAGGGCTTCAGTAGCCGCTTGGCAGACTTCCTGTGTAGGAGCGGCTATCAGTAAGTCATCAACATATTGTAACAAGGTTACCTGCGGGTTGGAGGCTCGGTAAAAGGCCAAGTCCTGGTGTAAAGCCTCGTCGAAGAGGGTAGGTGAGTTCTTGAATCCTTGTGGCAAGCGAGTCCAGGTCAATTGTCCAGTAGTTCCTGTGGAGGGGTCTTTCCACTCAAAAGCAAACAGCGGTTGGCTACTCTGGTGCAGGCGCAAACAAAAGAAGGCATCTTTTAAATCTAAGACTGTATACCAAGTATTTTCTGGGGCCAGAGAGCTTAGCAGGTTGTAAGGATTCGGCACAGTGGGATGAATGTCCTGTGTTCTCTTATTAACTTCTCTCAAATCTTGCACTGGTCGATAATCTCCTGTTCCCGCTTTCTTTACAGGCAGCAAGGGAGTGTTCCATGGGGATTTACATTTTACTAATATCCCCTGTTCTATGAGCCTCTGGATATGGGGCCTAATCCCATCTCTGGCTTCTTTACTCATTGGATATTGTCTCACAGTTACTGGTGAGGCTGAGGCTTTTAATTCTATGACCACCGGGGGTTGGTTTACAGCGAGTCCCATACCTGCCGTCTCTGCCCAGGCCCCTGGAAACTGGTTGAGCCACCTCTGATTAACTCGGGAGGGTTCTGGTTCCTTAAAAAGGCGGTACTCGTCTTCTAACTTTATAGACAGAATGCTTAGGCCCAAGGGTCTCTTTTTGCTATCAGTCACTTGGGTATCTTCAGTCTGAAAGGATATTTGGGCCCCGACTTTGGTCAAGATGTCTCTTCCCAACAAGGGTGTAGGGCATTCCGGTATAACAAGGAATGAGTGGTTTACTTGTCCCACTCCTAAGTCCACTGTTCTTTGGGTAGTCCATGCATATTGTTTCTGACCCGTGGCCCCAAACACCCAAGACTTTTTACTAGAAAGGGGGCCTCTAGCTTGGGTCAGTACTGAATGTTGAGCACCGGTATCTACCAGAAACTCAACGGGTTGCCCCTCCACCTTCAGAGTTACCCTAGGCTCGGGGAGGGGTTCCGAGCCCCGTCTTTCCTAGTCCTCATCTTCTAGCAGGGACAACACTTTCTTCGGAGGTCCCCGTGGTGGTTTCTTAGGGCAATCTTTCACCCAATGCCCCTTTTCCTTGCAGTACGCACACTGATCTTTATCCAAAGGAGGTCGGTTGCCCAGGGACCCTGCCTTACTAGTTCTACCACTAGAGGGCGGCCGTCCCTTACTTTCTACTACTGCGGCCAAGATTTTTGTTAAATTTCTCTCATGCTTCCTATCTCTCTTTTCTTCTTTACTTTCTCTCTCCTTCTCTTTCCTTAACTCCTTCTCTTCTTCAGTCTCTCTCTTATGATAAACTTTCTCTGCTTCTTTCACTAAATCTCTCAGCGACAAATCCTGTAAGCCCTCCAATCTCTGAAGCTTTTTCTTAATGTCGGGTGCCGATTGCCCGATAAAGGCAAGGGCCACTGAAGCACTATGCCCCTCAGAAGTGGGATCAAAGGGGGTATACCGCCTGAAGGCTTCTATCAGGCGCTCTAAGAATACTGCAGGTGCTTCAGTGGCTCCCTGGCTGACCTCTCTTACCTTGGCCAAATTGGTGGGGCGTCTTGCGGCCCCACGGAGACCTGCCACCAGAGCCTGACGATAGATGGTTAGTCGCTCCCTACCTTCTGGAGAATTAAAGTCCCAGTTGGGTCTAGTCAACGGGAACCCCCTCTCTATGTCATGAGGGAGTTGCGAAGGCCGTCCGTCGGTTCCAGGCACATTCCTCCGTGCCTCCAGGAGAATCCTCTCTCTCTCTTCCGTGGTAAAGAGCACCTGCAAAAGCTGCTGACAGTCATCCCAGGTGGGCTGGTGGGAAAACATCAGAGACTCTACTAAACCAGTTAGTTTCTGTGGCTCCTCTGAAAAGGGCGGGTGGTTAGCTTTCCAATTATACAAATCAGCAGAGGAGAAGGGCCAATATTGCAGGGGTTGGAAAGGTGGTTCCCCTTCTTCTCCAAGGATGGGAACTCCATAAGACCGGAGAGGAAAGATACCCGGTGGGTCCAAGATGACCCCTCGGCGGCGCCGGGTGCCCTGGGCAGGTCCCGGAGCCTGCCCTACTGCCTCAGCATCAGGGACTGAGGGTGCCGGAGCTGGGGGTGCTGAGGGTGCTGAGGGTGCTGGGGGTGGGGGCACCGGAGGTGCCGTAGGGGCAGGAGGGTAAGGAGGGGGAGGGGGATCATCAATTATAAGCGAATCCTGAGTATCAGGGTAAACTTTGGTAGTTTCCTTTTCCTTTTTCTGAGGTTGAGTCTGGGCAGCTAAAACTCGAGGGCCCATTTTCTTTTGCACCCAGGGCTTTACCCAGGGTGGTGGGTTCTCCACCAACTCTTGCCAGACTACAATGTAGGGTTGCTGATCCGGGTGTCCTTGAGACGAATCCTGAAAGACAACAGCTTTTACTGCTAATAAGGTGGGGAGATCAAAAGTCCCCTCCGAGGGCCACCCAACATTGTAGGTGGGCCATTCGGAGGTACAGAAAGTCTGCCATGGTCCCTTTTTCACTTCTACTGACAAGTTATGTGCCCTCGCTCTAACTTCCGTCCAATGATCTAGCGTCAGGCTAAGGGGAGTCGTCACTGTCTGTCCCATTGTCAGTATAACAATAATTAGACACGTAAAGGACACAAAGAACAAAGACACACACAGATTAGACACACAGCGGCCGCTTTTGGTTCTTTTCAGAGCCTCGAACAGAAACCGAAAGGAATCAGAGGGTTGATATTCTCGGCGCCCAAAAATCAACCCTATCTCATCAGGTTCAGTTTGCCGGAAAAACAGACGGGAGGCTACCAGGCGTCCCTGGCCTCCCAACCTCCCTGGGGCGTCCCCCAGGGTTGCAGCCTGCGGTGCTCTAGTACGTCTACCGACCGCAGTCACAGCCCCTTTACGGGATTGAGACGGCTGCCAGACAGCGGGTACCCTTCAGAACTCCGACCGGTCTCACTGAAACAGAAAACAGAACACATACAACTCAAGGCGCCACTAATCTTACCTCTTCCTCCAAGAGCGACTTCGGGAGTGAAGCGGGGTGGACGCCCGATCCCGGACGAGCCCCCAAATGTTGGATTCCCCTGAGGAAGGCGCCGCCCCAAATCACTCACCAAAGACGTTTCTTGATGCAACAAGCAAGAGGAATTTATTCAGAAGCCAACTAGTTGGGGTCCAAGTCAGCCCGTCGCAACGGGTCTCAACGAGGACCCTGAGTACTTACAACTAAGTGGTTATATAGGATTTTCTGAGGCATTCAGCCCTAGAGAATTACCATGGTTACAGATTATGTTGTAGTAACAAGATAACAATACTACATAGCAAGATAACAATACTACAAAGGCAGTAATTTTTCAAACCTACGATTTCTGAGTTGGTGCCACGTCCTGGGGGTGTAGCAAGGTAGGGTCAGCTTTTATGTTTAACTAACCGAAAGGTTAGCGCTGCCAGCAGTCATGATTGATTAACTTGTTTTTCCAGAGGAGTTACCTGGTTTCAGTTGTTCCCTCTGAGTCATATATCAGAATGGCTTTTTGGGCTTCAAGATGGCTACTCTTAGGCTAACTTATTTCTCAGGGAGGTTGGGGTCCTACAACACATCTTCATAAACTGCAATAATAATTTCTTTTAATTGTAGGAAAAAAGGATTGCCTATTATCCATATCAGTGGACTTTGATGGAAAGAGATAAGCGCATCTCTGGAGTTAATCGTTACTATGTTTCAAAGGTAAGATGGCTCTGTTACTAGCCATCTGTCAGGGTTGAGGTGGGTTTCTGTTGTTGTTTTGCCAAAGGTCTTATTGTTAATGTAATTTGCGTATTCTTGTCTACTAGTGAGATTGGACAGCCTTTTACATGTTTAATGATTGTATTTCTTATTCTGGATCATTTGTCTAAATCCTTGCTTGTTTTTCTTTTAAATTTATAGGGGTTCTTTGTATGTTACGGCTGTTGATCATTTGTCTATTTTATATGTTACATATATTTTTCCCAGTCTGCTTGTTGTCTTTTTCAATTTATGATGTCTTTCATCAGATGATAGTTTTTAATTTTGATGTTCAGTTTATTGTATTTATATTTTATCATTCTGGGTTTGGGTTTTTTTAAAAATTATTAAGGTATCATTGATATACACTCTTATGAATGAATGTTTCACGTGAAAAACAATGTGGTTACTACATTCACCCGTACTGTCAAGTCCCCACCCATACGCCATTGCAGTCACTGTCCATCAGTGTAGTAAGATGCCACAGAGTCAGTATTTGTCTTCTCTGTGCTACACTGTCTTCCCCATGACCCACCCCCCCACCCCACCCCCCGCACCATGTGTACTAAACATAATACCCCTCAATCCCCTTCTCCCTCCCTCCCCAACCGCCCTCCCACACCCCTCCCCTTTGGTAACCGCTAGTCCCTTCCTGGAGTCTGTGAGACTGCGGCTATTTTGTTCCTTCAGTTTTGCTTCCTTGTTATACTCCACAAATGAGGGGAATCATTTGGCACTTGTCTTTCTCCGCCTGGCTTATTCACTGAGCATTATATCCTCCAGCTCCATCCATGTTGTTGCAAATGGGAGGATTTGTTTCTTTCTTAAGGCTGAATAGTATTTCAATGTGTATATGTACCACATCTTCTTTATCCATTCATCTACTGATGGACACTTAGGTTGCTTCCATATCTTGGCTATTGTAAATAGTGCTGCAATAAACATAGGGGTGCATATGTCTTTTTGAATCTGAGAACTTGTATTCTTTGGGTAAATTCCTAGGAGTGGAACTCCGGGGTCAAATGCTATTTCTATTTTTAGTTTTTTGAGGAACCTCCATATTGCTTTCCACAATGGTTGAACTAGCTTACATTCCCACCAGCAGTGTAGGAGGGTTCCCCTTTCTCTGCATCCTCGCCAACATTTTTTGTTCTTCGTCTTATCGATGCTGGCCATCCTAACTGGTGTGAGGTGATATCTCATTGTGGTTTTGTTTTTATTTATTTATTTGTTTGTTTGTTTGTTTTCTCATTGTGGTTTTAATTTGCATTTTCCTGATGATTAGTGATGTGGAGCATCTTTTCATGTGTCTGTTGGCCATCTGAATTTCTTCTTTGGAGAACTGCCTCTTCAGATCCTCTGCCCATTTGTTAATTTGGTTACTTGCTTTTTGGGTGTTGAGGCATGTGAGTTCTTTATATATTTTGGATGCTAACCCCTTATAGGGTATGTCATTTACAAATATATTCTCCCATACTGTAGGATGCCTTTTCGTGCTGCTGATGGTGTCCTTTGCCGTACAGAAGCTTTTAAGTTTGATGTAGTCCCATGTGTTCATTTTTGCTTTTGTTTCCTTTGCTTGCGGAGATACACTCAGGAAGAAGTTGCTCATGTTTACTCAGGAGATTTTTGCCTATGTTGTCTTCTAAGAGTTTTATGGTTTCATGACTTACATTCAGGTCTTTGATCCATTTTGAGTTTACTTTTGTATATGGGGTTAAACAATAATCCAGTTTAATTCTCTTGCATGTAGCTGTCCAGTTTTGCCACCACCAGTTGTTGAAGAAGCTGTCATTTCCTCATTGTATGTCCATAGCTCCTTTATCTTATATTAATTGACCATATATGGTTGGGTTTCTATCTGGGCTCTCTAGTCTGTTCCATTGGTCTATTGTTCTGTTCTTGTGCCAGTACCAAATTATCTTGATTACTGTGGCTTTGTAGTAGAGCTTGAGGTTGGGGAGCATAATCCCCCCGCCAGCTTTATTCTTCCTTCTCAGGATTGCTTTGGCTATTCGGGGCCTTTTGTGGTTCCATATGAACGATTTGCTCTAGTTCATTGAAGAATGCTGTTGGTATTTTGATAGGGATTGCATTGAATCTGTAGATTGCTTTAGGCAGGATGGCCATTTTCACAATATTAATTCTTCCTATCCATGAGCATGGGATGTGTTTCTGTTTATTGGTATCTTTAATTTCTGTCATGAGTGTCTTGTAGTTTTCAGAGCATAGGTCTTTCACTTCCTTGGTTAGGTTTATTCCTAGGTTTTTTATTGTTTTTGATGGAATTGTGAATGGAATTGTTCTTCTGATTTTTCTTTCCGGTAGTTCATCATTAGTGTATAGGAATGCAACAGAGTTCTTTGTATTAATTTTGTATCCTGCAACTTTGCTGAATTGAGATATTAGATCTAGTAGTTTTAGAGTGGAGTCTTTGTGGTTTTTTATGTACAATATCATGTCATCTGCAAACAGGGACAGTTTGACTTCTTCCTTACCAATCTGGATGCCCATTATTTCTTTGTGTTGTCTAATTGCTGTGGCGAGGACCTCCAGAACTATGTTGCATACAAGTGGAGAGAGTGGGCATCCTTGTTTTGTTCCCAATCTTAAAGCCTTTCAGCTTCTCGCTATTAAGTATGATGTAAGCTGTGGGTTTGTCATATATGGCCTTTATTATGTTGAGGTACTTGCCCTCTATACCCATTTTGTTGAGAGTTTTTATTGTGAATGGATGTTGAATTTTGTCGAATGCTTTTTCAGCATCTGTGGAGATGATCATGTGGTTCTTGTCCTCCTTTTTGTTGATGTGGTGGATGATGTTGATGGATTTTCTAATATTGTACCACCCTTGCATCCCTGGAATAAATCCTACTTGATCATGGTGGATGGTCATTTTGATTTATTTTTGAATTCGGTTTGCTAATATTTTGCTGAGTATTTTTGCATATATGCTCATCAGGGATATTGGTCTGTAATTTTCTTTTTTTGTGGTGTCTCTGCCTGGTTTTGGTATTAGAGTGATGCTGGCCTCATAGAATGAGTTTGGAGGTATTCCCTCCTCTTCTACTTTTTGCAAAACTTTAAGGAGGATGGGTATTAGGTCTTCACTAAATGTTTGATAAAATTCAGCGGTGAAGCCATCTGGTCCAGGAGTTTTGTTTTTAGGTAGTTTTTTGATTACCAATTCAATTTCGTTGCTGTTAATTGGTCTGTTCAGATTTTCTGTTGCTTTCCGGGTCAGCCTTGGAAGGTTGTATTTTTCTCGAAAGTTGTCCATTTCTGATTTCTTCTAGGTTGTCCAGTTCATTAGCATGTAATTTTTCATAGTATTCTCTAATAATTTTTTTGTATTTCTGTGGTGTCCACAGTGATTTTTCCTTTCCCACTTGTGATTGTGTTTATGTGTGTAGACTCTCTTTTTTTCCTGATAAGTCTGGCTAGGGGTTTATCTATTTTGTTTATTTTCTCAAAGAACCAGCTCTTGCTTTCATTGATTCTTTCTACTGTTTTATTCTTCTCGATTTTATTTATTTCTGCTCTAATCTTTATTATGTCCCTTCTTCTACTGACTTTGGGCCTCATTTGTTCTTATTCTAGTTTCGTTAATTGTGAGTTTAGACTGTTCATATGGGACTGCTCTTCTTTCCTGAGGTAGGCCTGTATTGAAATATACTTCCCTCTTAGAATGACCTTCGCTGCATCCCAAAGATTTTGCGGTGTTCAGTTATTGTTGTCATTTGTCTCCATATACTGCTTGATCTCTGTTTTTATTTGGTCCATTGACCCATTGGTTATTTAGGAGCATGTTGTGAAGCCTTCATGTGTTTGTGGGATTTCTCGTTTTCTTTGCGTAATTCATTTCTAGTTTCATACCTCTGTGGTCTGAGAGGCTGGTTGGTACAATTTCAATCTTTTTAAATTTACCAAGGCTCTTTTTGTGGCCTAGTATATGATCTATTCTTGAAAATGTTCCATGCGCACTTGAGAAGAATGTGTATTCTCCTGCTTTTGGATTATAGAGTTCTGTAGATGTCTGTTAGGCCCATCTGTTCTAATGCATTGTTCAGTACCTCTGTCTCCTTACTTATTTTCCGTCTGGTTGATTTGTCCTTTGGAGTGAATGGAGTGTTGAAGTCTCCCAGAATGAAGGCATTGCATTCTATTTCCCCCTTTATTTCTGTTAGTATTTGTTTCACATATGTAGGTGCTCCTGTGTTGGCTGCATAGATATTTATAATGGTTATATCCTTTTGTTGGACTGACCCCTTTATCATTATGTAATGTCCTTCTTTGTCTCTTGTTACTTTCTTTGTTTTGAAGTCTATTTTGTTTGATACAAGTACTGCAACTCCTGCTTTTTTTCCCTATTAGTTGCATGAAATATCTTTTTCCATCCCTTCACTTTTAGTCTGTGTATGTCTTTGGGTTTAAAGTGAGTGTCTTTAGGCAGCATATACATGGGTCTTGTTTTTTTATACATTCAGTGACTGTATGTGTTTTGATTGGTGCATTCAGACAATTTACATTTAGGGTGATTTTCAATAGGTATGAAATTATTGCCATTGCAGGCTTTAGATTTGTGGTTACCAAAGGTTCAAGGTTTACCACCTTACTATCTAAGAGTGTAACGTAACTCACTTAGTATGCTATAATAAGCACAATCTAAAGGTTCTTTTTTTCCCCCTCCTTTTCTCCCTCCTCCATTCTTTATATGTTAGGTATCATATTCTGTACTCTTTGTCTGTCCCTTGACTGACTTTGGTGACAGTTGATTTAATTTTGCATTTGCTTAGTAATTAACTGTTCTAGTTTCTTTACTGTAGTTTTATTACCTCTGGTGACAGCTATTAAACCTTAGGAACACTTCCATCTATAGCAGTCCCTCCAAAATACACTGTAGAGATGGTTTGTGGGAGATAAATTCTCTCAGCTTTTGCTTATCTGGAAACTGTGTCATCCCGCCTTCCAATTTAAATAATAATCTTGCCGGATAAAGTATTCTTGTTTCGAGGCCCTTCTGCCTCATTGCATTAAATATATCAAGCCACTCCCTTCTGGCCTGTAAGGTTTCTGGTGAGAAATCTGATGATAGCCTGATGGGCTTTCCTATGTATGTGATCTTATTTCTCTCTCTGGCTGCTTTTGTTTTCAGAGGGCATCTCTCATATTTATTGATCAAATGTTGTTAACAACAATAAAATTCTGTATAGGGGACTCAATGCACAATCATTAATCAACCCCAAGCCTAATTCTCAACAGTCTCCAATCTTCTGAAGCATAATGAACAAGTTCTTAGATGGTGAACAAGTTCTTACATAGTGAATAAGTTCTTACATGGTGAACAGTGCAAGGGCAGTCATATCAGAGAAACTTTCGGTTTTGATCACGCATCATGAACTATAAACAATCAAGTCAGATATGATTATTCATTTGACCTTTATACTTATTTATATGTGAATCCCACATTGCTCCCTTATTTTTTTTTTTAATAAAATGCTGAAGTGGTAGGTAGATGCAAGATAAAGGTAGAAAACATAGTTTAGTGCTGTAAGAGGGCAAATGTAGATGATCAGGTGTGTGCCTAT